TCGCACGCGAATCGAGAACACAGGCGCGAAAAACCCTCGAGGCACTCTGGATTAATTCCAGAAATCCGAAAATGAACCGTAGGGAAGAGTGCCTCATTATCACGCGTGATATAGGGCAGTATATAAAACTGCTTTTCTGATGTGAGGGGCACATTATACTTCCACGTGATTTCTGTGCGGCTGGTCTCTACGTGACATACTTAGTGGAGACCTCATAGAAAGCGGTGAGTGTGCAAAGCTGTGTTCAAAGTGATTGAAATCTTGGTTTGGGGTTTCTTTGTTTGGTTATGGAGGCGTCTGGCCGAGTGAGTTGCTATCAACTTGACCTTTCCAGGCTCTGAAGAAGGCGAAATTCGCCGAAACGTCAGCTTAATCGTGAACAAAGAACAATAACACCTCGCGTTTGCTCAAAAAAAAATACGAACAAAATCACTTGTAGAGAATGGATTCTCACGAACCAACCCTGGAAGCACCAAAACAAACTGCGAAGTAAAACGAACATTTTGCATAATTTTCGATCGCGAATTTGCTAGTAATTTCTTTTTTCCAAGTTAAACTAAATGAAATTGAATCTTCAAACCTCTGTGATCAGCCGAGGTGCCGGCTTCCCTGGAATGAGTGCCGTCGAAATGATTATATCCACGTCCTTGCATTGTTTTGCGAAGAGATCCATCTCAGCCTGTAGCACTTTGCAAGCCACCCACAATTTATTTAGATTTCTAGCAAACCTTCAGTTAAAATACTTACTTCGAGAAATTCTTTGCTCATCTCTTTGGCATAGCCTCCGATTCCCTCGCCCTCTTCTTTGACGGAAACAGTAAGAAATTCGCCGCCCAGCGACTGTATCTGTTCTTTGACTGCTTCTCTGGTATCAAAACCACGAACTATAGCACCCTAAAACAATATTAACCTAGGAATTACATGCTTTAGAATGGCTCCGTCAATAAATAGGCAACCCTTTTCGGAGTATAACGAAGCTCTTATCCTTTTCAGAAGACTACTCCTAACTACGCGCGTTCTTATATCTATTGTGCTAAAACAACAATGACCAAATCAGCCTAACTAGTACTTTGAACCATATCAGTTATTACTTTGATAAAGTAAGCCTGAGCTGACGAAATTGATGAATCTGTGATGTACGAAAAAATTTAAGATCCAGAAAACTACTAACCATTCCTCTTGCTGTACCTATTGCGCTGAGACCAGCAACACCACCTCCAATAACTAATACTTTAGCTGGTGGAACCTGGAATGCACTTTGACTGACAGCCGTTTAATTTTACTGCATATTTCGAGTTTCACAATAATAATAATTATCCTAAACTTAGTCAAGTGAACCTATACAGAAAGATAGAAGAAATTCATCTTTAAGTAGAGAAATTCGTGAGAGTGAAGTTCAGATGCTAGGTGAGCAGAAATTACTTCACATGAGTTCTACAGTATTAAAAACTTCAGTAACCGAAGAGACGAATTAAACCTTGCCAGCGGCAGTGATTTGTCCAGTAAAGAATCGACCAAAATGATGAGCAGCTTCAACGACAGCACGGTACCCAGCGATGTTTGCCATGGACGATAGTGCATCGAACACCTTCCAATTATTGGTAAAAAAAAAGTTAAAAGCTGCACTTGTTAGATGGCACCATAACTACCTGAGCTCTCGATATCCTCGGAACGCAGTCCATTGCAATAACATTTAGTTTTCGTTTTGCCAATTCATCGACAATCGCCTTATTGGCGTCTGGATATATAAATGAAATCAGTATTGCTTCCCTCTTGAGCAACGGTACCTCACTTAGCGATGGAGGGCGCACCTGTAACTTCCACTATAACATTATGAGAACTGGAACAATGGTGTATTCAATAGAAAAGTCGGCAGATTTTCAAAATATGCAGCTGTTCCTAGAATTACAACTATTTTCACCCCTTAACCGTTCATTTACCCACCTACTACTCCCTCACTCTTTTGCACTACTAAACTTCAACTCATAAAAGTTGGTGGAGTGCCATAAATACGGTCATTATTTTCGCATCACAACTCTAAATCAGAACAACAAATTCTGTACTTGCTAATAAACATACCTTTAAAACAATATCCGCTTGAAATGCCGCCTTATTATCGACGATTTTTGCTCCCTGACTGACATATTCCTCATCAGTCCAGCAAGCACCGGTGCCAGCACCGTTTTCCACCTAGATTTTCTGTAATCTGATGAAAATAGAGCACACCGAATAGTGTCTATGAATGATAATAAAGAATTAAAGTAATGTGATGACTGCGAGAATAGGTGTTAGTAACGCCGTGTCGAGTCTATTCATTCTAATACTACTTCCAGTAGTGTAAGTGGGTGGACGTTCATGTGTTTGGAATTTGACATGGATTTGATTCACGATGTATTCGTGTTATTCAATATTATCCTTATATAAACCAAGATCTCTACAAATACAATGGCTGCATCCTGTTAAGACAGATTTTAGAACAGAAATCATTGCCAAAAAACTTTTCGGGCAAGAATATTTCGCAACGATAACGACAATATTTCGTTTCCATGACCGACTTCTGTTCATCTTGGCACTGAGCAAATAAGTCAACGATCAATAAGACAAAGCCAATTCAGTAAATTCGAAGAAGCCCAAGTCATTCCGGAATGGCTACATTAAAAACATTGCCTGAGTTCATCGAGAACACAGTAACGAGAACAACTGTTGTGGGCGGCTCAGAAAACGTAGAAACTTCTGCAAAATAAAGTAACAAAGAGATGGAAGCATTTACTTTGCTCCAACCTAATTTAGGCTCTAAAATCTATTGTTTCTTGAGTCGTTGAATCCTGTTTGTTAAACACATCGTCTTACGACTGCTCACATAATCGCTGGATTTTCTGCACTCACAGAAATCGCTAGGATCCTGCAATAATCCAACACTGAAGCCTCTAATCTACAAGCACTCGCTGCTGCTTGCGGTGAAGATGTGGGAATGCTACAACACAGCTATATCGGGACTCCAGACAAGGTCGCTTTCAAACAGCATTTAACACGTCGTTGGGGAAGGAACATTAGAAACCCTCAAATCTCAACTCCAACGACCTCTTTCGGTGATAGCTGCATGATAACCAAAAACGCAGACGATGTAGTATTAAGTACTTAAGTGTAATTTAATAAATATATAACCGCGTTATCCATTCACATCTAGTTTTAATGAAAAAAATCCGGAAGCTCCAGGATGTACTGTCCTCATAAAAACAAACGATTTCATGACAATGAGCGAACAGTCAAAGACCATTCCGTATAAAAAGATAGTGCCTAGTAAGATAACTTCGTTTGTGTGCTGTTCCACTACAGTGGCTTCGACTCGATGTGACTACGAAGAGGCACAACACAAAAAACAACTGTTAAGGCCAGTTGACGCGCATCCTGACGGAAGCGAAAGTGCTAACACGTTAGCCACTACGAAGGGCTCCTCGTAAACAACCTCGTAAGCTCGTTAACACAACAAGACATTGAATGCTTCGTGCCGAGTTCAAACAAAAGTGGTTTTTGAAAAGCAATTTCAAAGTTATTGTGAAAAACCAGACGAATAATCAGTCGAAAAAGAAAAACTATGCGTTAAGCTACAACGCATGGCAATATTTCTTCCATTAAGCTCTCGCAAAAAATCGATTATTAGTGTAGTTTATAACATCAGTTAGCATGCAATACGCTTACATTTACATCAAGGCATGTAATAGAAGGATGCATGTAGCGCAGTAGTCGGAAGAGCCCTCCCATGAACATGGGATCGATCCCTGCTCCGCAAACCCACAAAGCCCTCCATTCCCCAAGTCGATAAATTGGTAACAAACTTGCCCGGGAGGAAAGTAGCTCTGGCTCGATACATTGGTAGACTACCGCGAGTCATTGTGAAGGCCAGAGATCCATTCAATCGCCTCTAATGATGCTTAATGAAGTCGAATGCATGGCGCATCCCTCAGGGATTGATCGACGCCCAGAACTTTCTCTTTTATCCTTCATGTAACAAAAGTGCTTCAACCACTAAGTAATTCAACGAGGAAGCGTTGCCCCGCATTTCAATGAAAAATGATCTCATCACATGATTTTGGTGTTCAAACCATACCACTATTATGTTTGAGTATCGATCGACTTATAGATCCATACAAAAAGTAGCCAGCACATCCCCACCATGTAGAAGGAATTTCTCTTGGGCAGAGCACTAGTGCCTCTACGCTGTTTGATTTACATTTTCCTTGGATGCATGTCAATTTAAACAAAAGGTGGAAGGTCAAGTAATGGTCGTGCAGTTGAAAACACAAAGAATTCATGACGAAACTTCACTTCAGACGATCAATAGAGAAAAAAATCAGCAGCATGAGCTACACTAGTAATACTTTTTACTATGCTGGCAGGAATACGAGTGCAGAACCACTGCGCTACTGATCGGCCTCGCCCTAGAGATTTGTGGAACGAAGATGGTAATCGAATTAAGAAAAGAAAGCATTCGCCGTTACATTGGCTCATTCATCACTTCGAAAAATGCATTTCTCCCAATCAATGCCTGCCAACCAAAGACCGAAAAACTAATCGATGGTTCATGAACTAACTGATCGTTATGAGAGCGGTGCTAGGCATATGCTTTTCATATGTGCTCTGACAGTTCACTTGCCATATCAGAGCTATGTCTAACCCTAGCACAGAAAGATTACTAGCCGAAACAATAACAGTAGCTCGCAGTTGACGGCTTGAACGATGAATACACAACTTCCGTTGATTATAGTTAGCATTCGGCCATGAACAGCAGATAATGCACACAAAAAAGGATAAAATGATAAAGTTCTCAGCGTTGATCTATCCCTTAGGGATGCGCCATGTATTCTACTTCATTAAGGACCATTTGGAGGTTACTGAATGCATGTCTGGTCTTTACAATGACTCGCGTTGGCCTACCGATGTATCGAGCCAGTGTTGGTATCCTCGCAGGCAAGCCTAGTAACTAACTGACAACCCCGGATGGATGGATGCCCTGGTGGGTCACGAGCGTGGGAATCGATATCATGTGTACTGCTAGGCGCCTCCGACCACTGCGCCACTCGCGCACATAATGCAGGTTGTTAACCACAAACTCGTGGGCACAGAAGGATACCGAAGTTTATTTAAAAAGTTGAAATCACGAGAAGCATGAAGAAAGCATCACAGTAACTTACCTGGACGTTAAATCCTTTACCACATAGTTGTCTAACAGCGGCCGGACTCAACGCAACACGTTGTTCACCTAAAAGTTGTTTGACAAGAACTTCAAGTGTTTACGCGATGAATGCTTACCAACTTACCAACTTACCGCAACATTTTCTAAACGATTATTCCTTCTAAGACTTCATTTTTTTTACAATACTGTTTAACATTCGAGAAAAAACACATGGAATGCCAGGCATTCAGACTGGACACTTTAGCACCAGGCAATACACTTCTATTCATGTTCCCCCTAACTACTTAGAGTATTACTTGGCATTTCCCTACGGAAAAATGAATTGCGAATAACAAAGACCGAATACTGGAACATTGCTGGATAAACAGTGGACCATCACTCTATTACGTTCAATGCTCACCTTTAAATGTCTCTCTCACTGCCGATACGGTCAATTTGCCCAATGGAACGGGATCAGTCTGAGAGCAGAACAGCCGACCTGTTGGTCTGATTTTCAGACGGAAGTGGACGAGACGAAGCATGAGGTTCGTTCTGCCGAGCGGTCAGAGTTGGCGCGGATATCCACCGTCACACAATCAATGAGGCTGTGTGGCAGGCGTTCTGCGCTCTACCGCCCACATCCCGTACGGTCGGACACGAGATCGCTTCAATGACCTGGTCCACAGGAACCAACTACTTAGTGGGTACTTGCTGATGGACCGACTCGCTAATTGATTCTCTACTATAAGACGGCAAAGCTTTGGAAGAAATTCGTTACCAATCCCGTTCTTCATTGTTCTACAGTTATTCATTGCTTGTACTGACTTTATATTACTGAATTCTTAGCTACTTCTGTTATGTAAGAACAAACTCGCAACATTTTTATCCTTTATGTAGTTCGTTCACGCTAGTTTAACCATAAACTTCGTCCATTTGCAGACTCTAAAATTAGTGCTAAAATAGCGTACATTGAGGATATCACTGGCGTGTACTGATATTTGCTTTCTAACGAGGTGCGCAAAATTAAGCCCATTTTTGGGAAAAACAGAAGTAAAACATAAACAGAGCAACAGTTTTGACGTGGGTGTATAGCATCTCCCTCCGTTTTTGATTGGCAGTGAAATTTTTGGCCAAATTAGATCCCGACTTTACCATAAGACGTTAAAAATAATCGCACGAAATGGTTAGAAATCGTATTCTTTTCAAACATATAAATAAAAGGACAGATTTAGTAAGCTAATCACAAACGAGGGAGACAATGATGTGAAATGACGTCAGCAACAACGGTGCCCTGTGGTGCGTGATGTTAGTGAAAGCAGAATGGAATGATGAGATGATGAATGAACGACGTTCAAACTCCTAAGTGCCGTTCCCTACCCGCCTGCTGGGAATTGGAAATTCCGAAAGGTTCAAGAATTGCAATGTTCGTAACGAGGGGCCTATTAACGTCGGAAGAACCCTTCACTGGAAACGACAAGGCCAAAATGATGAAAACTATCTACAAGATGGAAAGGGTAATCGCAATACTGTAATGGAGAATTCATTGGATGTTTCGGATGATCGTTCCAATGTCTTCAGCCCTTTTCCTCTTGAAGCCTTCTTTCATCACATCACCTATCACTTATCACTGCCACTCTATTTACAGGCCCGAATATAAGCTTGTAGTTGCCCTCGGCTTGTTAAGCATCACGCGTATGGGTTTTCGAGGCAAGACATCCGTTGGTAGTTCTCCAGCGTGTCGATTTTCTGCTACAAAGGTGTTAATTGACCTGATCTAAATTATTGCTGTTGTTGTATGCAGCTATATCATGCTAAAAACTGGCCGAGATAGTTTAAAGGGTTCCCTTTTTGACGGTTTAGATATCATTTTTTCAAATTTGGGATTCCTTTTTCTTCATGGGAAAGGGAAGGCTTCACACAGAAAAGGAGATACTCCTATCCTACGCCGAACTTAGTGGCAATAGAGACATCGTTTAAATTAAAAGTATTGACGATGTGACTTTAGTGTGGTCAATTTAACTCTACTCTCGTGCGTTCAATACCGAGGTGATTGTTTCCGGAATTGTGAAAAATAAATGGATTCAACCATCAACTTTAAAAAAAGATGCTTCATTGGAATGAGTCTAAGGAAAGTGAGAAATGATGTGATGATTCTGGCCAAGAATTTCAACCTCGAGAGTCATTTGTTGCTCGGAAGACTATCCAATTAAGGTAAAAAGTCCTCAAAGACCCTATCGATTCGGGACCACAGCTATGAGTAGGGATATGTTTATCTCTACATTTTCTCTGTCGCACTTATTAACCAATTTTACTAACTTGCCACGGTCATTAGATGTAAAACTTGAGCTACTCAATTTTAAAAACCATCACTATGGAGATTTTTAACTCTATCACTATAGAACCGACGACCGACTTTCTACTAACCTCGGCATTGATCAAGTAATTCTTCGTTTTCTTGTTGAGCAAATGTGAGGTGTTATTTTATTCTTTATTCAAGAACAAGTTGACGTTTCGGCGGATTTCGCCTTCCTCAGAGCCTGGAAGGGTCAAGTTGACCGCAATCTATCCGGCCAGACACCTCCATAACCAAACAGAGAAAACGCTAAACCAAGATTTCAACCACATTGAACACAGCTTTGCACACTCACCGCTTTCTATGAGGCTTCTACTGAGTATATTGCGTGGAGACCAACCGCACAGAATTCACATGGAAGCGCAATGTGCCTCTCCCATCAGAATAACAGGCTTATATACTGCCCAATATCACGACTGATAATGAGGCATTCTTCCTTGCGGTCCATTTTCGGATTTCTGGAATTAACTCAGAACGCCTCGAGAGTTTTGCGCTCTTCACTATATACTCTATCGCTATATAGTAGATTATTATTGTGAGTTTAAAAGAAAACCTGATGACGCCTCCCAAAATAGAATTTTTTGCGAACAGTACAATACAGTCTTAGCTCTTCAAGTCGACTTGGGGTAGCCTTAAGGATAATAACACCGAGCCCAACCCCTTAAACTGGAGGGTGTTTGATGGAAAGTTTGTACAGAACAGGCTTTCATCCATGCTATCAAACGATCCAATTACCACTTTTAATTTTCGCAGTAATTAGTTTATTTATTAAAAAGTAAAGTGGTAACGACAAATGCTAAGCTGAGCTCTCATTGGCTTATAAGACTTCAGTTTGGTAATCCATAAAATCTCTTCTGAACTGTTACTGTTCTAGCAACTGCTTTAAAATGCTGCCATTTCTTTTTGTTGCAAAATTTAAATCTTTAGACCCAACGAAGAGTGAACCAGTGAAAGGAATTACCGCGGTACCGTTAACAACCTAGTACAGCTCACTTAGATTCTAGAAGGCAGGCGTGTGCTGACGACGTGGGGAAGCTCTAGCACGGTTTTCGAGGCTTCAAGGAACGAAATTTGCTTGAGAAAGGCCTCTAAAATCGGTCTCCGAAATCCATAACGTCATATTTCATGGCAGTAATTCCGCCTTTCATTCTATGTGATTTGAATTCCACTTTCCACATCTGCTATTATTCCGTGCGAACATCACATTTTCGACTGAAGCATTGAAAATCGGACCACTTGGTATATGTGGAAGGACCGTAGAACCAGTGACCAATATGTTCAAGATATTGTAATTTCAAATTTTTACATAATAAAACCTTTCTTAAACATGTAAAACTAAATAACACAGTACTTTTTATACTCCCAAATAGACAACAGTACATAAATTAGTCTAGTTCATCAACGACGGTAAAGTAAATTGCTTGTTTATAACAAATTTTCAGCCACTTTGCACGAGTCGATTAAAGCAGTAACGAAGCGATGACAATCCACGTAGGTGTTATAGAGATGAACAGGGGTTACACGTATCACGTATGGATATCGTTTGTCCACCTGAATAAGCCATATTGAGAACTGTGGTCAACATCCTTCCACGATACTTTCTCAAAACATTTATTAATAACTAGTTAGAAGACGAAACAGAAAAAAAGAGATAAAGCGTTCGGGGTTGACTTATACCATAGAGCGATGCGCCCGCCACACACTCGACTCCTGGACTAAATCCTATTGCACCCCAGGGTACCTCTGAGCATTACCCACCAGAAAACGGTACGTTATATCTTTCCGCTCAATACTTTCCATCAAGAATCGGAATTTAAGCATAACTTGGCAAATTTATCTTCTCAAATGTTCAACACAGTATTAATTAAGACAATGGGAGCGGCTAAGGCAGTAGTAGTATAGTAATACCGTTCAATATGCGCAAGGCTATGGTTCTGCTCAGCAAAGGGCCAAGCAATCTCTAATTTCTCCGCTGTGGGGAAATTGGTACTACAGTTGTTTGGTATAAACTTCGTCCCTTTAAGCCTACGTGGAAATGCTTTAGAACGGCTATCCCACCATTCCAGGGGAAACCGAAACGACCGGGAGTCAACGACATTCACAAAGAAGACGAAGATCCTTAAGTAGTAACTCGATTGTGATTCGAATCGGAAGATCATGATGGGTGATAGTTACGGAGAAACGAATCGAATGCGAAAAGGGCTGGGAGTCCATAGTATCTGGTGTTGGGGCATGTATAATAAAAACAATTTAAGCCTCATGTCTCATATTTGTCAACATTGGTGAGATTCTAGCGAATATTTTTCTTCGTTTTCATAATTTCCGTCCCAGAATCGATTTGTTAATTAGAGGTATCTATGAAGACTGTTCATGATGACCATTGCTCAGAGCCGTTATTTTAAAGCAAAATGAATAATGGTACGAGAAAATCAACAAACCGCAACTCCTCTTTTTATCAGCTCCTGATAAATGATGTCTATCGGAGCTGAGAAACGAAGTGATAGTTGGCAGCCTCGTTCATGGAATTCCTGAGGCGTAATGATTGAACAAGAGATTTTGGTCGGCCTGGGAAAAGTTAGCGTTGCAGTTTCTTTGTAATGAAACACTCTTGTCGAGAGTCTTCAATGAATTTTAAGTCAGTTGCTACACAAACCTGTCCTCTGAGGATTCCGCGAAGAATTTTTTGAGAAGAAATTCTAGGTAACCGGTTAGGTAGAGCGATTTACTGCGCAAGTCCTCTAGTGATACGGTTTTGAATACCTTAACCGGAATCAATGAGCAGAAATGTTCAAAGTGGAGCACCATATCGATCAAAGTTTCTATACCTCTAACATACCCACTACCGGCACCACCAAACAAATGGGTGGATTACTAATTCTATACCCAGACGCACCATCATCCAAATCAAGAACTAAATAATTAAGAAATTTATAAATTGTAAACTGAGGTATGCTAAAGAACAACTGTGGAAACATAAAGAGATAACGATGTATTTCAAAATGAAAGTTTTAAAAATCACCATTATCCATGTTGAAACGTGTTTCTGATCGATGACTGAACCATCCTAACATTCTATCCCGTTTGTCAGTCTTGTATCTGAAACGAGTGTCTGCTCATGAAAATAATACATTTATGCTCCCTGTATTAATTCAACATAGACTTTACATAATAGACGAAAGATTAAGTTGTAATGATGTCTATTCGTAAATGTAGGGAACGTTGACTCAAATCACGTAGACTACAGGTCAGCGGATGGTCAAGCCCTTATAGGGAAAAAAGTTGTCACTATATGGAGGGCGGTCATAGTGGTGCCACGATTTCGGTGGCCGCTTCCACCTCAGCTTCTATGCATAAAATAGAACATCGTTCTCATCACACAATTTTCCTAACAACATCGAAGTCAATTGCTTTCCCTGCCCTCTGACCTTCCAAGTAATACGTTTGAGTCACGCACGTCACTAACAGGTGTGACTTCTCATTCGCAAATATTCACGTACGACATACTCCACACATTGTACACTCCCTATAAACGTGAGATTTTTACAAGTATTGTGTCACAGTTGCGTATTCCGTTCCACTGAACGCATTTAGTACGTAGTACCGCCCCTACCATCCCGTAATATATCAATACAGCCAAATTGAATAGTTACACGCGATCTTTTGATTTTCGTATACGATGACCCCTGCCAACAGTTACTCAGGAATTTTTATTCGCACACCCAAGATTCCATTCACTGACCTCAATACGTATGCGTGTCTACAAACGAGAGAAGCTTTCAAATTTAAGCAATCACATCTCATTTCGTAGCAAACCTTGCTAGTTAAAAAAAATCTTTTAGAATTTACAAATCACTATTTAGACGATGCAAGTACTTTTTCGCCTTTTTCACTCGTACTTGGAAACTGTCAATGCATGTTACACCTATATTTAAATTTGAAAGCAAACGTATCTAAGTTTTGCTTCTGTTTTCCGGTAATTTAAGTTTCCTTGGGACTTTATACCTGTAATAACGTTTTAAGGACGCGTGTGGCTCAAAGGGAGCGTTGGCGCCGTGGTTGGAGACGCCACTGCAACACACACGCTGAATCGATCCCCGCCCCATGGCCCACCAAGCTTTCTATCCCTCCGGGGTTGGCAAATTGGTACTAGACTTGTCTGCGAAGAAAGCATCACTGGGCCGATACATCGGTAGGCCACCGCGAGTCATTGTAAAGGTCATATATGCATCCAATCACCTCCAAACGATGCTTAATGAAGTCGAATGCATGGCGCATTCCTTAGGGATTGATCAACGCCCAGTGTTTCATCCTTTTTTAAATAACGTTATAGGAAATGAATAGCAACAGAGTAAACTTTCCTCTACAACTCTGTCACGTTTCCAATTTCTTAAGCCTTCTAATTGTTGGAAAATTGGGAAATTTGACAGGAAACCCGCATGGTCGTAAGTAAACTGGTAAATTTACAGTACTGAAGAGAGTGCGACATTTTTGACATTGCGCATGCACAACGAAATTTTGGTGAGTTTATTTCCTTTGCACTATATTTATCCACTAACCGAGATTTGTATTTAAATCCTTTGTCGCTAGTAGCTGATATTGCCGAATCCGTTTGAAAAACGATTGAATCGCGCGACAAACGATATACCGTTTGATCAATGCGGAGATTCAATTGTGGCACCCAAAAAGAATAAAATAGGGCTTTCGGTGTTTATCAGTTCGTGAGGAAGAGACCATTCATTCGACTTCATCAAGCGTCGAGAGTGGTGATCGAATGCATATCTTGCCTACAGAATGATTTGCGGCGGCCTACCGATATTTCAACTCAGTATTGCGATCCTCTCAGAGAAATTTGTTATCAATCTGACGACCTCGGAGGAATGGATGGTAAGTATGATATGCGGGATCGAACAAAAACCACGTATGCATTGCGGGGCAGCCCTAACCTCTGCGCCAGATGCGATACACAAAAAAGGTTTGCCTTCTTAAACTCGTACATAAAGACGCTATATGTAAAGGTTGGGAAAACGCTACATACCGTAACCGTAGGCAAAAAATACCGTCTAGATTTCTAATCAAGCGTGGCATAAGCGCGTCATTTCAAACAAAAGATCCGAATTAAGGAGCCACGGTGAGAATCCAAGAGATAATGAAATTACGGTTTTTTCACAGCCTGGTGCAAAGAAGTTTAGCACACCTAAAAATTTTTGGCAGGGAATTAATACGAACGTGTAAGTCTTCATAAAGAAAGAATTGGTTTATTCCTTTGTTAATTCGAAAATAAGAGATTTTCTGCTAAGAAAGTATCGAACTCAGTAATTACATGATAAGCTGCCGTTTCTAGCGTTGAGTGATTTTCAGTGTGAGGAACGCCACTGAATAGACGAACAGAGTGAGCGCAAGAAATTCTTCGCTATGAAAATGTTTGATTTTGAACAACCAAAGTTTCGTGGATTTTTTCATTCAGAGTGGGTTTTTTTTATGAATTGTTTACGTATTATGTGAAATACAACCGCAATGATACCGAGATATTTGCAAAACATGGATTCCACGTCACATCGAAGAGCGATTACCTTTTACGGGGGATCAAGTGTTATACGCACCTGGGGTCTAGCTTCGGGTCCAAGCCTTGCAAATATGTCAGCATGATTGTGGATGTATTTCGCATAATCCCCTGCCCTGAAATAACAATAGGCAGTGGATCAAAGTTATACATTATTTACGTACTGTTTTAGAGTGTAATAAGGCAGACTTTGGCCAGGCTGTCCTCGGGATTCCAGGGAACCACAGTGGCTTAATCAGCAAATCTCCGAAAAGTGGTGATTATGCTGGGGCCCGCACGACTAGTGATGACGGGCCGTTCAAATACTAAGTATCAGGTATCAGGTTTAGAGGGTAAACTTATCATTACACTTTCAGCTAGTGTTTCTGTTTTCGTATTAATCTAAATCTATGTTAGGCGATTTCAGTAATGATGGGAAAGTGAAAGTTTTAACAATTCTTATATGGATTCATCACAGTATCAACAGTACATCCATCCTCAGCACCACAAATCATCGCATGATACAATTTCAGTCTAACTTTTGCAATGAAGATAAAACCTCGAAGATGTGGAATGTGATGGACGACATCAAAGAATCACTATAAAAAACAGCAACAGGAAAAATGAAACGGTCGTAAATCAAAGAGATCATCCTAATGAGTTCTATAGAACGTTTCTTTTACACAACAAAGCTTTTTTTTTTCCAAAATTTTTCTTCTAATACTGGTTCCTTTTTTGATCGCGGTCTACCACACCACGAAAAAGTGTTTTAACTAACAAGCGTTGATATTCTGCTCAATATTGCAGAAAAAACATTGCCACAGTTCCCGGACATAAATACGCACCAGCAGGTTCAGACTACTGAACCGTGATACTCGTTTATAACACACGGAGGTGACTGGTTTGAAAATATTTTCAGAACGTCAACATAATTCGTCAAAAACGTCTACTATCGGCAATGAACAGTGGAAAGGGACTAATTCAATGCAAAACAACGTACGCCCTGATGTGAATTATAACTCATCTACTCTACTCGGCAGAGTTCACCGCTGACAGATCGACGTATCTTAACTATTTCATCAGCTTCATTAGGAAAAAACATTCACAGATTGAAAAGCAGTCATGAATGCTTGTAAAAAACTGGAAAGAAACACGAGCTACTGATCAGAAATTTCAGGAATATCATGACATCCATATGAAAGCAGAAGTGTATTGTTATGGTTCTTGGTATTCGTGATTGTTAGGCACAATTCCGAAACTCCACAATAAACAGTCGTGACAAGCCATATTCTATTTGAACATCGAATTGCTTGCGATTGATACGTAAGAGAAGCTGACTTAAAAAGTGCATATGTGACAGTTAAATAACGTAGCATAAAACAACGTTGGTTGAGAAAAAATTAAACCACTCCACTCTGGACGTTTTGCTTTTGGAAAGAGACGGTTTCTTCCTTTTTCATAAACCCTATTATACAGTTTCGAAATCTTAAAGTTATGGAACTAAAGCCAAGCTCAATGTTTTAGACTGCAAAGCGCATTACAATGTTGCCGGTTTAACATAAATTCCTACTTTTCTTTTACATAGTCCTTTTTCACAATTGTGCACAGATCCTAGCACATCTTTCACAAAGTTTGCCACATTACATCTGTCATCCACTAAGGCTTTCAGAATTGGGTAGTAATTGAAAACTTGCTCTCCGTGGACGTTAATTAGAGCTGACTATTCCTGAAATACCGTACATATCTGTGCGAGAGACACAAGCTCTTCACTTTGATAGGCTTAATAGGTCGGATGGAACATTCCTCCAATGTGTGGCATCACTCTGTCAACTCCTGAGGGATCGGTAGATTAGTTACTCTGATGGGTTGTAGAATTAGCGACCATTATCTATTGCATGATGCCTCTAACCACTCCACAACACACCTCCTGATTTAAAACACTTGTAAGACGGTTTCTCGCTACGTGCAGTTGCACTGACAGAAAACACATGACCCAAAAAATTTCACTTCTGCATTTCTGTGTAGATAAAATGGTTTTCTAACTAAAAACTGTTATTGTGAACAATCACAATCATCTGCTTATACAGATACGGTGGAAAATAAGAGATCAAGTTCGTAGCAAAAAATTATCTCAGATGTGACCTCACGTTTATTTTAACTGAAGAGATTTCCGGAATTCTTCGGTACACGTATGAAGTTGCCAGAAAATGATTGCAGGCTTCGAAGATAGGAAAAATGAATAATTTGGCGCTATATTCCTCGAAGTTTAATCCGCTGCAAATTAAGCGAATTGAAGCGAGCATGAACATCGAAATCGCTCATACGAATTTGAATACTAGGTCGGTCTATCATTACGAGTTACAGGAGCTCCAGCATACTTGTTTTCATTTTTTTGTACCTATGATCGTGGCTTGTCATAAGCGCTGCAACGTCTGTGAACATCAATCCGTGACCCACGAATCGTTTGCGGCTGCGCTTACCGCTGCTTCGCATGAACCAGAGACGTCCGCTTACTTTGTGCGTGGTTGGAGTAAGACAGGGCGATTACATAACTTTGGTGTTCATTCTTTTGTCCATTTTATGAACTGGCGCCAAATTCTTCATTAGAAGAGTAGCACATGTTCCACTGGCGATTGTATTAACGCCAACTTAGAAGATGAATTAATTATTGAAGTTCATAATTGTGGGAACAGGCTTGTTATTCTGGGTACTGATAGGAGATCGGTCCATAGTACTTACAATTCTCGACGACACCGATTTCGTGACACCTACCCTGCAGAGCAGGACGACTAGTAGAACCACTGAGCAAAAAGATGAGCGCGGTGTTCTGAGTCCATCATTTTACGGTTGTTGGTAACCAATGAGTTCATGCTTCCCTCCATCTTTAAATAATGTATGATATGATTGCATAGGTTTTCATGGATTGGTTTTTTCCTCTTCCAATTCCTTTACAGTTGGAGCTTTTTCCTCGCGCTTCGTCTAACTTCTTAGGGACCATCTTTGCTTTCTTGGTAAGATGTGTCAGCGACAAAGCGACGGTTTGTCCCAGTTCGAGCCACGTCGTTATTCATCGCATAGCTGTGCTTTGGCTCATTCTACTCAACCGATATTTCATGACAGCATCTTTTCCTCTTGTATGATAAAGGTCTTATCATATCTCAATCGTTCGTCTCGTTAGGACGATTATACGATGTAGTCCACAGACTCAAGAAAAGCGCACAGATTAGTGTTCGTTGCTCTGCTCTTTTGATGCTGTTCCAGTGACGTTCGTTGCTGTCCAAGATTGGGCAACTTCTCATACGTCGTTTCACCGTATGATGCTGTATTCGGGAGTGTGCAGACGAGAAAGCGTTATGTGAACGCTTAATTGCAAAATTAATGATATCGATTTAGTTGCATATGAGATCCTTGGCTTCGACTAATGCCTAAATTTAGCCGACCACACATCAGAATACTGTCAGCACTACAATTTTTTCACTTAAACAACTGTTGCAGCTTAAACAAGGAACATTTTAGCGCAATGTGGAAAGTTTAAAAGCAGAAAACCTTTGGAGCGTACAAATTAAAGCAGAGAAAGCAACGCCTGGAGAAGTAGCACTGAATTTTGAAGCCTATTCTGCTTAAAATTTTCTACTCTACATAGACACCTGTTTTACGAAAAACAACTCGAATTGTGCTTTGATGCACCCGTAGGGTTACAAATGGCACTGTGATGGCTGGCTAGAATAACAGATGAAATACTTTGAGCTCGTGGTTCCAATAACGCCTTGCTCTCAACATACCTTGTATCGTGTCTTCAAAAAAGAAGAACTAAATAAAATTAAAAAGTCGGCTGTGGTGGCAATCGAAATTACCGCCTGATCTGTTTTGTAAGCGTGGTGTATAATTGGGAACCAGCAAGGCGAGAGGTTGTGTGTCTCAACGTCTACACCGTTATACTATGATTGTTCATTGATGAACTATTAAACCATCTCTGTAATAAATTTTACAGAAACAGTGGTAGTTGTAGCAATTCGCTTACCAGAATGATTGAGCCTTTTTCCTTCAACAAACAATCCCATCTGAGAAAAGTCACCCCAACAAGACCCATCGTAGCTGCGGTGTACATTAAAGATGTATAGTTTGAATGAAAAAACGTGTCACACGTGTTTCTTCTCACCTCCTCAAATCACTATTCAGTTAAAATCCACTACTATTATCGTATTGCATTTACGAAACGAAGTGTAGAATTCATGGTGAAGCCAGGCAATAATCTTAACTCTCTACAACCTGCCGGGTTATTTGGGAGGTCGTGCACAAATTAAATAGGCGTATTCTGAACAAGAAACCTTTCATGCACGAATAGTCCGGCAAGCCCTCCTGCTCCAGTGCAACCGTATTTGTATGAACACCAACAGGCAAAGTCCACATCCCAGTAGTGTAATTGAAGAGGGACGTTTGCAAAAGCGTGAGCCAGATCCCAACCGACAAAACAACCCTAAATAGTAGATTCTTTTAGAAGTAAATCCAAAACTTTCTGCTAGTTTAGTTAACTGGGCAAGCTCACCTTCCTTTTACCTGCCGCAGTAATGGTATGTATGTCAAAAAGTTGTCCTGTAAAGTATTGAATACCAGGTAAAAAAATGACAGAAATTTCTTCTCCATGCTTCTCAATGTACGATAAGATGTCTTCAGTCCGCAGAACCTCTTCACCTTTACGAGGTGTTAGACATACCTGAGAAAAGCAAGAAATCTCAAAAACACACTTTCGAATAAATTTTTAAAAAGTGGTATGGCAGGAGTACGCGACGATGTACGACATTTAACACATAACATTCCCTATAGCTCTGTCACATACTCAACATTCCAAGTACTTTAGTTACTGAAATGTCGGAATTTCCCACTATGTGCTGGTAACTATATATTAGAATGGAAAGCGAGTTCTGGAAACTCAGCCATCGCCCCGAACCAGCCGCCAGCGAAATTAGGCCTCGGTCGTTATGGGTTAAGCAAGCATGAATAAAAAATAAAGCAAAGAAGCCATGAAATCTGTGAGACCGACCATGCTGTCCTCTACAGTTCTACCATGCAACCGAATTTGCGATTCAATAGCATAATGATCAGAAGGAAATGCTCTTGATTCCAATAATATTTTGTAACGCGTCTCTGTTGGCTTATAGAACGCAGTCTAAACAAACAAGGATGTCCGACTTCGCAGCATTCATAAGGGCTTGTTTCAAAAATGGTATTATTTGTACCAGTAAAACGTGAATATTGACAGTAAGCCCGTTGCAGAGCGCCACTTCAACGGGTTTTGCTCCGACTAGCTTAGACACACCTTCTACTGCGCATAAGTCGCAGCTAACCCACGGAAGATCACCATTGGTGTGACCGAAAACACCCCTGGAATAAAGAGATAAAGAGAAATACACAAAAAACCTGCCAAGTAATTAGAGTTGCACGATTTGGATTAATCCTGAGTTATCAAACCTACATTTTAGCCCACTTATCAAGTTGTTCCTTCATAATTTTCTCCGTTGCTTTAGGCATTAGACCCAATGAATTTCCGCACATGTAAATTGCATCGGATTCTGGATCGCATAAAGTTCTATCAACTGAAAAGGTGATGTAATTTGTTTAATCAAAATATCTTCTATAAGGCAGAAGCAACTATTGGGAAATGCCTGGTGTAATTATAATATACTTCTTATCAGCAAGATTCTAAACTGCTCATTGGTCCCCTTTTAAGAAAAAAACACAAGAAAACACACTGATTACCATTTGGAAGCGTGCCACATTTGGGGTAGTGAAACTGTTCTCTAACGTATTTCAAAGGATCATTTTCTGTGAGATATTCTGCCAATTCAGAAGATGCTAAGTCGGCAATCCCCCTTTCCTAAAGAGAATTTATATAACAGTGTTCAAAGTGAGTTTATCGCTCCAAGTTTCTAGCAGCTCGCTATCAATGATGATATCATGGTTTAATAAAAATATCACTTACCATCGCCATTCTCTTCATGTATTGAAGCACTCTATCAGCTGTGGAATCGCACTGGACTTCAGTCATTCTCCTATCGATTTTTTATACGAAAATATTCAATTAATCTTAAACGGATATCAGCGATAGTCAAGCCGAAAATTCAGGATCTACATTTTTTATGTTAGTTCTAAAAGTGAATTTAGCAGTTATGTCCCAATCTCTTATGGTTAGTTATTTCAGCAAAAAGAAAAATCCAAGGACAGTTAGCATTATTTCTCGAAGCGACCACCACACTGCATTTTATTTATAACACGAATCGTTGAAACTATTTTCTTAAGAAGTAAGTGACTTCAATCACAACCTCATTCCTTATTTTACAGAAAAAATTCCTATTGGAATCGTCAGCAACAGATTTTAACGTGGACAAACGAATTGATAATAAAAAAAGAAAAAGAACAGCAAAAAAAGCTACCAAATTAAGAACGACAAAGCTGTAGTGGAGTGAACCAAGTTCTGTTAGAAAGTCATTATTTATAAATGTGGAATTGAGAATAGTAGTAATAGGAGTGCATTTGGAAGGTTGACGGAACAGCGTCGAGAGCAATGATTATCAGGAAAACGGCCGCTGCATTACACTGTGAAGATGCCGGCCATTCTCGCCACAACAAATGAGTGGAAAAGCGGAAGCACAAGGAACAAACAGACACTTCCGAACGCAAAAACGCGGTTATAGGATAATGAAGCACACCTGGTCGGCATAGGAAACAACATTACGGCGGTGAACAGTTTCGATGGGTTCTCGTGATAAAAGCTATCCAGCAATGCCTTATGAATACCACTTGTCTACTTACTTGGGACAGCCCTTAGTGACCGTATGCGGAAAAATGCCCATTGCGTTTAAGGGAAGAAAACATTTGAAAAAGTCTGATAGCTGTGGAGGTAGTGGAAAATTTTGGATGCCCGTATTTTCGATTGCTCCGCTATAGATAATAAGATAAAACACTAACTTTAAGTAATTCAGTCCAATACCTTTATTTCTCTAGCATATCTCATACCCTATCTTAATCTTCTATTCCTCAACACTAATAATTTCTCTAAAAATCCCGAAACGACCGGGAAATCGAGGTGGAAACGACTGTTTCTTGACAGTTTGCACAAAACCGATGAATAACGGTTATCAATCAGCGCTATGATGTATCTCTTATGCAAACATCGAAAACTCGCGACACGGCAAAGGGGTTCATTGATTCGGATAGCACTTTCTAACAAAAAACTCTGTACCAGAGTTATCTTGAATAAAATAAGTAGAATGACATATTAGTTCGAAAAATGTGTCAAGTGACATGGACTGCACTCTTCGATGCTTCTGCATCTGATACAACTCGACGCAATTCAGTTCTTGCGCTAAAATTTCCATCTGTGCAGTTCTGTTCCGCTGTACATACATGTGTCCCATTTTATTTGTAGTGACTGCTACGAATTTTTTTCATCATCCCACAATCTTATTGATAACCTCAACTTCGGTTTCGTTTCACATTCGCTATTGGGAAAAGATATATCAACTCTTGCTGGAAAATTTCCAAAACCGTCTATAATAATACAGTGCACTCCCATTATGTTCAAGGAAGCATCATTTTAGGCTCGAAAGAAGGAAGCTACACGCAGAGAACTGACCAAATAAAGCAGTCAGATGGATGAAGTCTAAAATCGATAGGCGAAACAGCCATACTTTCAGCTTCAATATAAGTTCCACTTTATCGCAAACTATCTTTGCACCAAGCGTAGTAATATTTCGAAACCGACCTTCCCTAAACCTCGGTGTGATTAATCAATATGTATTCTTTCTTGATAAGCTTACACGAGGTTGATAAATATATTTATTTTCGGCTAACGTTTCGACGTCTTCGTCTTCCTCAGAGCCGGTGATCCGAGTCGATGGTCCCTGCTTGTTGTTCGCCTCGACGTTGCGTCTTCGCCTTCGTGTCGAGCCAGATCTTCTTCAGTGAGCCATCTTCTCGAATCGAGCCGAAAATAAATATATTTATCAACCTCGTGTAAGCTTATCAAGAAAGAATACATATCTTTGCACCGTTTTTCGCAGGCCACCTTTTATTTGCTTCTTCAAGCCAATAAAGTCGTATGTTTGATGAAGTAGCACTGCTAGAAATGTTATCAAGTGTTTCGACAAACGAAGATTTCGGGAAATGTGCAGGTGATAGATATCGCCCTTCTTCATCAATCGTTTCATTTTGTTATATTAATACCGTTCGACAGTTAACAGCTCCACAAAATAATGCAATATGGTCGAATTCCGTTTCACAAAAAATCGTCAACACCACCATGAAGGATTTGAATTTTGCTGGAGAAATAGTGGACCACAACCTATGTGGAAGGCGACCTCAGCAGAAAAGAGACGGCGGCTTGCGTTTATCTTGAAAATCTCAACAATCGAAGTAGGTTTCTTACAGACGACAAAAGTTAGAAACACTGTTCGTCTTTTCGAAATGAGAATTTACTTCTAGGAACGATGTTCTCGATGGGGGCTCTCAGCCCGACAACATTTACTTCGGATTTCCTATTTTGAACTTTACATCTTACATTTCTAATATTCCTTGTAACAAAATGATAACAAGAACAAAATCAACATAGGTGGAAACCAGCATGACTACACTATTATGTGCGCAAGACAATGTGGAGAAATAAAAGGCAACAACAAGTTAGTAGTTGTGAATGTACAAGTGGGAGCGATCTTTACACATCGAGTGATTGATTTTGCGGGTGCAACGTCCATATGGATCAATCGGTAGCGCGACCAGAGTACGTTAGACTAACTGGTTACAATCAACATAGAAAGTCAGCCGATACGAATAACATCTGTTGGACAGAAAGTATTTTCTACATATCGTCTCTCATTGAGTTGGTGTGATTGTGATGAGGAGGCATCTTCGACTCAGTGTCAACATAGTGGGCAGTAGTGTTAAAAAATAGTAACATTGCATTGCAATGTGGAAGTTTTATACGTGATGAATTTTAACGAAATAAACAGTCTATTATCAGTAGCAGTCTCAATTATTAGTTTCCATTTCGTGGTCAACTTGATAATATGTGATAGAATGTGCTCTATAATGGTTCGAGTTTTTCCGTGAATATCTGCTGGATGCGTTCAAGAAATTCTGATGACGTGATGAGAGCGCGCCGAGTGAAGTTTTCTCTTTTGCTACTCGGATCTTGTAGTGGAGGACTGATGCCATTAGAAACGCACAATGGCTTTACGCTATGTAGTTCCAATTTCTGGAATTTCGTAAGGGAGGGGTTCTGGGAGCCCTAAGTCTCTTAGTTGCCGCCTCTAAAGTAGCCCCACTTAGTGCTTGCCAACAAAGCTTCTCTGTGTCCACTGTACCGCACACATCCTTAACATGGTTCCATCCATGTTATTGAAATCCTCGAAATTGACGTATTATTCGATTTCTGAGCATGTTTTTGAGCTGTGACCTACGTATTCGACCGGATCAGCTCCTAGCATAAGGACAACGTTGTTTTTAACTATTCTCTAGGTTAGGTCATTTGAGATTTTCAATTTTGCTGGCTATGAGGATAACTGCTTGCATGCTTAGATTTCTTTTTTGGTCTGCTCCGTAAGGCCTGTAGAGACTTGGAGGAATCGTTACTACACGCTAGAAATTTCGTTTACCCAAAGAGGCATTCTCCACTGCTGAACAGAAGTGCTCTTGGAACTATTGTTCCTATTCTGAAAAAAGTTGATCGACTTGTCTAATTTTCCAGCGTTCTCATTAAGGTATCGTTTAATTTTATTGAAGCCCTCTTTGACATGTGCTAGAGCGAGCTTCAACTGCTGAAGGCGATCATTTAGGGGCTTGATCCAATAGCGTTGATCGACTCAAGGCCGTGATTTTTGTAGCAAGATAACAGAGTTTCGAGTTGGTCGTAAGAGTGAATCAGTTGTCGCTTAGATGCGATTAATCTACGTCATGGCGTGCCAATTAATGGTTTTTGCTACTTCACAAAAGTGGAACTTGTTTAGAGTAGCGTGCAAGGGTTTCTCCAATGAGCTTTCGCTGAAGTTATTGCTCGCACTTACGAGATATCAATAAGGTGAGGTAATTTTGATCTGGCTGATGCCACGTTGCTGTAATGAGCCCCTTGTAGTTGTGCAAAGGTAAGCGATTGAACATGTTTGACGTTGTAAGCGTTGTGGAGTGAAGTTGTTAACGCGGCGGAAGGGTCATGTGCTTGAGAGAATTGTGCCAATTGGAGCTTGTAATTGTTTGCATCTCGTGCTGTCGATTTGTGCAGTTGCACTGCCAAGTAGTTGTCGGATGATTCCTTCGATCGGCATTGCACCATATAGAAGGAGCACGTTAACGTTACACGCAAACTCTGAGTAATCAAACCTTTATATGGACAATATTAGGAAAAATAACAACGACATCGAGAAAAAAATGTGTACAAATAGCACTGCAGTAAGTCTGTCAACATGAAAATCTAATATGATGCTTAAGATAATATGAAGAACTAGAAGGCATCATAAGTAGCTGGTAGAAATGAATTGGCATTGACAACGGTCTTTATCCGGTGCCTGTTGAGGGAACTGTTTGATTAATTTGGCGGAAAACGTAGATTGTCTTGTCTACATAGATTATTCGGTGGTCATCAAAGTTTGTTGAGCGAACATCCTACTATCAGCATAGAAAGAGCCGGTAAAGAATATTGTCTGTTGTATAGACGATATCCTCTTTACACTCCAACTCCTCCAACTCCTTGAGCTGATGTGTTGTAAAGCTGGGACGGCTTTGATTTGCAAAGTCGATTGGTGTAGTCAAGAGTGAACAGTGGAATTGAAATTCGTACGTTTGCTACCGTGGCACTACTTGAACTGTTAGCAACTGTTTCGATAAATAAGGATTTCAGAAGATTTTCCAGTGCTATATGTCTCTTTTTAATCAATTATTTGATTTTGTTATGTTAATACGGTGCGGCAGTCACCAAATGCACAAAATGATATATTTTCGTCGAAATCCTTTTCTCAGAAAGGCGCTAACAATGCTATGAAAAGTCTGGAATCCGGT